TGTGCCCTGATTCCTGGGAGGTAATCAATATCAAACAATTAAGCTGCTTAAAATTAAAACATGAAACGGGCGAGCAGCGAGCATTGTTCGGCCACGAGACAAGACAATAGAAGAGCAGGACAAGAGAAGGACAACAGGAGGACAAAACACGGTCACAGAGCCCGGCCACAGAGTTCAGGGGCGCGGCCAGTCAGCGTGTCCAGGGCTGGTCAGTGAGGACAAGAGGAGGACAAGAGAAGAACAACAGGAGGACAAGACACGGCCACAGAGGCCGGCCACAGAGTCCAGGGGCACGGCCAGTCAGTGTGGCCAGCTCTTTTTCCCCAAACAGTTTACTGTTAGGGGTTCTCAATTCTTTCTTAAGATGTGTCCACCCTTTGTGTCACTGCTGGTGTCCGCCCTTTTACGCTGGCCATGTAGCATGTCTATTCATTTGGCTCCCCCCTTTTCCGCTGGCCATGTAGCATTTCTATTCATTTGTCTCCCAGGTCTGTCCTGCTGGTGTCCGCCCTTTTCCGCTGGCGATGCAACATTTCTATTCATTTGTCTCCCAGCTCTGTCACTGGTGGCGTCCGCCCTTTTCCGCTGGCCATGCAGCATTTCTATTCATTTATTCATTTGTCTCCCAGGTCTGTCACTGGTGGTGTCCACCCTTTTCCGCTGGCCATGAACCACTTCTATTCATGGTCTGTCACTGCTGGTGTCCGCCCTTTTCCGTTGGCCATGTAACAATGTAGCATTTCTATGCATTTGTCTCGCAGGTCTCGCTGCTGGTGTCCGCTGTCACTGGTGGTGTCCGCCCTTTTCCGCTGGCCACGTAGCGGTTGTATTCATTTGTCTCCCAGGTCTGTCGCTGCTGGTGTCCGCCCTTTCTGTCACTGCTGGTGTCCGCCCGTTTCCGCTGGCCATGCAGCAGTTCAATTCGTTTGTCTTTAAAGTGATTTCTTTGCTTTTGTCTCCCAGGTTCGGTGCCTGCACTGCTGGTGTCCGCCCTTTTCCGCTGGCAATGCAGAATTTCTACTCATTTGTCCCCCAGGTCTGTCACTGGTGGTGTCCGCCCTTTTCCGCTGGCCATGCAGCATTTCTATTCATTTATTCATTTGTCTCCCAGGTCTGTCACTGGTGGTGTCCACCCTTTTCCGCTGGCCATGTAGCATTTCTATTTATGGTCTGTCACTGCTGGTGTCCGCCCTTTTCCGTTGGCCATGTAGCAT